TTTTTTTTTTTTAAGTACTTCTTCCTCTTCTTCTTCTTCTTCTTCTTCTTCTTCTTTCTTCTTTCTTCTTTCTTCTTTCTTCTTTCTTCTTTCTTCTTTCTCCTTCTTTCTTCTTTCTTCTTTCTTCTTCTACTTCCTTCTCCTTTCAGAGCTCTGCCTTGTTAAAATCTTTACTTCTAAATATGAGTAGTCAGGAGTCCTCAATGCCATCTTTTACTCCACGGAAATCGTGATTCCTGCTGAAGACAGATGAGTCGCTTTTTCTTGTAACAGTGCTAACAGAGAGAAAGAGTGTGGACACTCACTTGTTGGCACTGACTTACTGTTGATTAATGGTAAGGCTGTGGAGGTTTGCAGATGCCGGGGCTTAGGAGTGATTGTCCAGTTCTGTGAGGGAAGGCGGCCGTGTGTAACGCTGCCGTCAGAGCACACTGCCCCTGAAGGGGGATTAGATTTTATTATTTGTGCCACTCTCCTGACCGCTTTTCTTTGGAGCCTCCCACAGAAGAGAGACTAGGACTTCAGGGCTGGTGGCGAGAAGCAAACACTAACGTGAAAAGCATCCGAGTCTCTGTCCAATCTGTAATAAGCTGCAATGGTTCACGGACAAGGCATAAAGCAATTAACACAATGTCAGTGTTTACTAGAAGAACATGTTTCAACCCATGAAATTTTGGTTTGAGGAAATATGTGGGAAGGTTATTAGAGTTCTTGGAGGTTGAATTTGGGCAAAACCACTGAAAATGGTAAGGAGGGATTGCTTTATTCTATCTCTTTTTCTTTCCTAAAGTTTAGAAATTTAGAATGAAATACAGGATTCCAAACCTATCTGGCCACACCTCCCTGACATCATCTTTGAGCTAGAACATGTGTCTAAAGGCACATATAACCTCCATACAGTGGACTCTCAGACTAAGAATCACTGTTGGATCATGAAAGTCTCTCAGCATACACAATAATATAGTAATGACCTTGACCTTCTCCTCCCCCATCCAGTCTTAATCAGTTCTACTTTAAAGGAGGAAGCATTTTTATATTAACTATATATATATATATATATATATATTTCTATAGATAGATAAATAGATATATATGTATGTATACATATGTCTATCTATATCTATCTATCCATCCATCTATCTACCTATCTATATTCAATTGTATTACATTTAAAATTTTTCTCCTGCAAACTAAAACCAAGAGAGTATTTTAAAGACTTGGGTGTCTGTATGTGTATAAACAAGTCAACTAACCTGGCTGACTGCTTCTTTCTTTTTTTTAAGTATTCAGTACTATGATCATTTTGTAATAAATAACTGAGCCCTACACCCTTCGGGAAATTCTGGTTCTCTGTTTCTTTAATTGTGGCGACTTGGTTCAGAATATGTAGCCAAGAAACCTGATCAAATTTCCTTCCTTCTCATCTTATTTGTATTCTTTGTGAAAAGCCTAAGCAGTTGTTTTAAACAAGTCTGGCCTGTGGTTAAAGTTTAAATCAGTAGTGAGAGCCATCCAGAGGGGAGTGTTTCTCACACTCTGCCACTCCTGGCCTGGGGTACTAAGAGTATTGGACCCCAGAAGCAGCCAATTTTGCAGTGCCTTTTAATACACAAAATTGTATTAACATCAACATGGCTACAGATGGATGCGCTGCAATAAACTGTAACCACTTGAGAAAAGCCTTTATTGACTCTCAAGTAAATAATGCACATTTTAAAGGATCTAAATATGCATTTACATAATGTGCTATAATTTTTTATTGTGTCAACTACTCACACACACACACACATCCATAAGAGATGTTTTTCTCCATCAAAAACTTGGACTCACACCATTCTTTGTGCATTGCATCAGCACCATGTCAGACTCATAATGGTAGTTTCTCTTTTATAGGGCCTGATCTGACAGTCTCAAAATAACAGTTAATGAATTTTACTGATTGAATGATTGATTGCTTGATTCATTTAACCCCACTAATGTTTTCTAAAATGATTTGAGACTACTGAGACAAAAACTTAGGCACCCTAAAAACATTGAATCCAAGATAAAAGAGAGAAAACAAGAAAAAAGAAAGAAGAAAAACCAAATTTTGACATTGCTGAAATCTTAAGTCTGAGCTTTAGAGCAATGTAGGAAACTGATGGTTCTCATTGTTCAGTAGAAGGGTACTCCTTGCGGGGTATCCAGAGAAAATAGCATATATTTCAAACTCTTTAACAGAACTTTGCAATGTCTATTACACAACTATTTTCTGTTTGAAAAAATTAAAGCTCAGGATTTTGAATGATTTATATCCAGTTCAACTAATGGCTGGACCAGAAAGTCCAGGCATGAGAAAGTAGGGGTTGTAAAGGATCACCCTTTGAAATGCAGACTCTGCAACTGTCTAATTTGAATCTACAGGCTAAATTATTTCCTGGTATTAATTAAGAATTAATTGATCCTTATAAATCAGTCATTGTAGAAGTAATTCCATGTATTCTCAGGTTTGTGTTAAAATAATTTCTATGCCACAAGGAGGAGGTGAATAAATTGTTCTTAGTAAAATATAACAAAGAAACTAAGCCTAAATTTCAGTTGTTAATGATTTTCTTTTACATATTTAACAACAACAACAAAAAGAGAGCAAGGATGTTTATTAGCAATTAAGGGAGGGATTCCAAGATCCTACTGAATTGTTTCCTCTATTAAGCTTCTTTAACGTTTAATCTGCCTGGTCTTTGCTCCAGTGAATTTTTTCCCTTAGGCAGCATTCTCTGTTGGCCACCACGATTCCGTAATCTTAACAATCATTCATCACTTTATTGAGCACCTGAAGCCTTGCCACTTAAGGTCTGCTTCCCAGGGACTCTTGACAATGGGGTTGCCACCTTTGGGGGTTGACATGCTACAAAAGTTGAATGTATCATTTTGTTATGCGCTGTGCATTCCCAGCCTCAGTTGGAAAATGCCACATTCCATCCCTAACTAAAAACTATTCCATCAAATGCAGGGCATTGGGTCAAAGTTTCTTGCTACCAGCAGTGAAGAACATACCACATCAGTTGAGAAAAAAATCCCTTTGGTTCTTTAAAGCCAATAGCACAATTGGCAGAGTCAGAGATGACCAGAGCCAATTCACTTTTTAGCTTGTGGGTTTTAACTCAGAGGCAATAATGGATCCCAAGATTTATCATTTGTGTACGAAGTCCTAAATTTGACCAGTTTTTCTGCAAGCTCCCTGGCTCTTTGGCAGGTGGGGAAAAAAATTTTTTTTAAGTCTCTTATTTATTTGTATGGTGATTTTATTAATTTCTATACCACTCACTAATTCAGTCACTCATTATAACTTCAACAAATACTTATCTAGTGCCAGACACTGTTCTGGGGATATGGCATTAAATTATTAAATGTTTGGAAGAATTATTTTCTAAAATGGAGAAGACTGGGAGAAGACCAAGTATGAGGGGTGGAAGGTGACAGGAATCTGGTTTGAATAGATTATGTTCAAGAAGCCCTCCATTGTGTGATTGAAGACAGAACTTCTTGTTGCCTCAATGTTATATCCTAAGCCCAAAGTAGAAGCCTATGACTATTTACTGGATAGGTTGCATGAAGGAAAGGATCCCATCAGGTCATCTGCAAGACATGAACTGGATTGTTGCTTGTACTCCAAACCCCCATTTGCACTCTTTAAAAACTACAGATGTCATTCTGAACCTCAAAGCTGTACCCATTCCAATTGTTAGTCAGAAAGTGCCCCAATTCTAAAGACATCCCAGTAAGGAACAGAGGATCCATACCCCGGGGATCAATAGAGAGATGCGTCCTTTCTTACGGTCCTCAGCCGTGCCAATGGGATAGTATAAAGTGTGGCCTGTCCTGCTCAGGTTTCTCTTCAGTTTTATGAGTCACTCTCAGTATTAGGAAAGTCTCTTATTCTCCAAAAACTTGGGTATTCCTTTGTTTTCTCTCTGCAAGGGCTCCTTGAGTTTAAAGATTTAAACTGCAAAAAGTAAGAAAAGAGAAATACTCTCATCTGCTTTTATTTGGGAGCTGTTTCTCTGTGCCTCATTGAGAAGTGAGAGCTGCTATCTTGGCGTTACTTGGTTTGAGTATCTTCAGTCCTTCCCATGTGTGGCTCTTATCCTGCAGCAGGTTTTATAAATCACCCCTCCACTTCAAGGGCAGAATTGCTCTCAGGAAAATTATTCAGTATCTCACATAGGTTTTTTAATCTAATATAAGCTTCTTGTACCAATGAAATTTGGCAGGGTTCAAATATAAGGGAGTAATAGTTGTCTGAGTCTTTCATCAGTTTTTATGAGCAGAGGGCCAACAGTTTAGCAGGGGTCACTGCCTACTCAGCCTGTGAGTTCCTCTACTGTGAAACACGTATGCATTTCCGAGTTTGGCTTTGAAATGGCAAAAAAGGGCGACATAAACCTTCCATGTAAAGCGAGGCACCCAAATTGCACAGGTTCATTAAGTGATCATTTACTACATACTTCAAAAAAATTTCATCCTGAATTAGTCCCTAGAAATTTCCTTGAAAGGGGTATAAGAGCTTTAACAATGAATTATTGTCTATAGATAGCTCAGCGTGAGAGGGGATCCGTATGTGCAAACTAGAATTTGTCACATGTAATGTCAGTTAAATCAGGTCTAATCTACCAAATACATTTTTTATTGCTTGCTTCATTAAAAAGGCTCTTAAGGTAATGAATAATCTTCAGCTTCACCAAGGATTATTAATGCCTTTATAACTCATGTCCACTGAAAATAGAAAGACAGCTTGAAACTCTACCCTAATCTAACCTCCATGTTTGTCTTAGGACCTTAAAGAAGAAAATCTATCAGGCCTATCCAGTGTTAAATTCAGTTATGTGAGCAATACTATGCATTGGTTCAGAGGAGAAATTTTTAAAAAAAAAAGAAAAAAGGGAAGTTGAATCAGGTTTAAAAGCTGTGGCAGAGCATGTTTTTCTCTTCATAACACTGATGTTTTTCTTTTCCTACAGCAAGTCCACACGCAACCCCATCGACTCTTCATTTTCCGACATCACCCATTATCCAGCAGCCTGGGCCTTACTTCTCACACCCAGCCATCCGCTATCACCCTCAGGAGACGCTGAAAGAGTTTGTCCAACTTGTCTGCCCTGATGCTGGTCAGCAGGCTGGACAGGTGGGGTTCCTCAATGTAAGGAAACTTCTTTTTTTTTTTTTTGGCCAATTTCTTTAGAAATATTAACCGAATGTAAAAATAACAAGGGGAGACCTTATGACCATGTGACATTGTGCTCTAATGTTGTGCTGACTGACTGCAGGCAAATGTCATATTTATTCTAGATTGTGGGAAAGTTAACTTACTCTAAGAGTGATTGGCCAGGGTTTAAAAACAGTGTTTGTGTTATGTTCGCAACTGTCAAGTTTATGGATATAAATCATCTCAGGGGTGAACTACATAACCTTCTAAGGTCTGTGGGCTGATAATTCTACCTCATGCATACTAACCCTAGGACTCACACAGTTAACAAAATAGAAAGACCAAATAATTGTAAATAATGATTTGAGGTAGTAGGGAGAGGTAGGGGGATGAGGGGGCACAGATGTTTCAGATCAACTAAGTTGATATTTTTTAAAAATACATTCTCCTAACACTTTAGAGCAAGTTGACCAGTACTTGAACTCAAGATGCTAGAAGTACAGTTTATTATGGTTTGTTATTTCTGCAAGTAATTATCTTTCCCACTTATCTTTGTATAAAGCTGAACAGTATTCAGTAGTTTCAAATGAGTGTTTTTATTTTATTTCTCAAATAAACCAAACAATCACAATTGGAGATAATATTCCAAATGTGAAAGTGATTTTTAAAAATCACCAATTTTATTTCAAATATAGAACTAAATGTTTACAATGGATAGCTATATCCCAAAGCCAATGATAGTAATAATGAATAATAAATAATGACCAGGAGAAAGCCAAATGTGATTTTCTTTTTCCCCTAATAGCTGCACATGAAGCCACAGATTCGCTATAATTATTATTGCCTAATTTAGAATATCATATCACACTGCCCTATCACTGATTTTCTTCCCTTGCAGAAATACCTGATTCTGCATATCTGAGACAGAACAGGCAGCTTTGACTAATGTCTGGTGATGTGTTAGCAGATACATTTCTGTCTAGACAACAAATCAATATGGTGCCTTTTTTCTTTTTGCTTGTGTATTCATTTGCTTGGCTTATTCTAAAGAGTTCACTTATGGACTTTTAGCCCACTCAGAAATAACACACAGGCAAGTTTGTTGGCAAGAAAGCACTACATTCTGATGGTCAGACGAGATAGTCTTTGAGGAATAATACTAAATATATAAGTGAATGTTGATGAGGAAGTGAAGACGGCCTCTGCAGAATTATTAAGCTTAAACTTAAAAGCCTGGGATAACAGCATCTCCTTCAATTGAATTTTGATTTGGGACTGTAGCCTAAATAGGAGCTGTTGTTGTTGGTTGAATAGTGTCACTGAAGTCTGGAGTCAGAAAGGCCACTTGGGTAACCATGAAAAAGTTGAAGTGGTCACCAGGATCAAGATCAAGCATCTGACTTTTAAATTTCTATTTTTTTTAATAGTCTTGACATCATCCTATATAACTGTCAAATGCCCAGTTTTGCATTTTGATGAAAATTTTACAGGGTTTAAGGCAGGTCTCTTCATGGGGCCATTTTGAAAAAGTTGAAAATAAAATGGATTTTATTGCTTTCTTCAGAGGGAAACTTTCTTTTGTTAAAGAGCTGTTATTTGGTTGTTCTAACATCAGGCAGCCAAATAAATATGATTCTTATGGCATATGCTTATATAATTTAAATCAAAATTAGAAGTGATATTTTTTCTTAGCAGAATTTTGACAGCTGAATTCTAAAGTTTCTGTGCCTGGTGTTATACAATATGTGTAAGAAATTTTTTATGTTCACTTAACATATTTATTAAATGTTATATAATAGCAACTTTGAGGAGTGAAAATAAAATATTTTTTGTCTCAAATGCATAGTGAGGAAACTTCATTATACCTATATAAATAGACATGATGGAATAATTCTGCAATCTATAAAACACATATACTAAATAAATACTTGGTAGTCATGAGAATGATGGTGAAGGTAGCAGTTAATACAGAATTGAAACATTCCAAGCAAAAGTTGGCAGGTCATTTTGCACAACCAGATGCAAAGAAGGTCAATGTAATTCAAAAGATAAGTTTAGGATGCATTGAGCATGTGTGCCTAAGACTGTACTTTTGTGGAATGCCTTAAAAACAACCCAACAAGTCTTCATCCATATGCTGTTATGGAAGAATTCAAGCATCTAGAATACTTAGTAATTTACATAAAAGGCACCTAAGGAATCTTTTGTTTTTAGAAGAAGCTAATGGTTCATATCTGTTTCTTCTTTTTCTTGTGTGTGTTTTGTTTTGTTCCCCCCTTGCAGCCCAATGGTAGTAGCCAAGGCAAAGTGCACAACCCATTCCTTCCCACCCCCATGTTGCCACCGCCGCCACCACCACCGATGGCCAGGCCTGTGCCTCTGCCGGTGCCAGACACAAAGCCTCCGACCACTTCAACAGAAGGAGGTGCAGCCTCCCCCACCTCACCAAGTAAGTATGGCCAAGACAAGGCGCCGGTCACTGGTAAAGCTCTAGGCACTTGAATCCACACCCAAGCTTGGTCCCTCTCTGCATAGGCTTTAGTGATAGGCACGGCTCCCCAGTGATGGTTGTAGCATAAATTTGCAGAGCCAAGACCAGAACCAAGTGAACACCTCTCTAAGGTACTACCAATGACAAGATGTGGAAATGACTGGGCATTAGGGTGGATAAAATAATGTAACTACATGCCCAGGACTGAAATCAAGTTATGAACTATGAAATTTGACATGTTATTTGAGTGGCTTTGAATGTTGCCCTTATGATCATCAAATAGCATCTACTTGTATGAATTTTTATTAGCAAAAAGGTTCTCATATTTCCGTAGAGCCCTACCTTCCAGTAACTTACAGTCCAAGAGAAATGCACTTGATGAGCATAAAGGTTATACACCTCCTACATCAATTAGAAAAAAAAGTTTAGATCAAAATAACGATTCAAAGATGCGTGCATTGAATATTCACCAAGAATCTGGCAGAAGTGATCTGATGAGCTAGTCGCCATGGCAGTTGCATGTCTAGGCTTGGCAGGGGGAGTAGATAAAAGGTAGAATTGGATGGAAAGAGAAGAGAGCGCTTGGCTCTTCTCTGAATGGTCTGGGAATATGTGATCAGACAATATAGGATTTTAAAACCTTTTTGGATGACGGGAATCATGACTTGATGAAATAGAGGGAGAAAAGGTCTCCAGACATTTACTGATATTTTAGACATGACAAGGGGATAGAAATAACTTGAACACACAAAATTGGCTTTTATTCGTACCTGGAACAATGACAAAAAGTGATGGCTGGTGGCAAAGTTTCCAGGTGAAGAAGGGACTACCTAACCTTGACAAAGGGTGTGGTGATAAGCACCTTCCCAAAGCTTTACAGAAGGATCAGAGTGTGGAAAGGACGTGAACAGTGACATAATCCTAAGGAGAGAAGTTCTTCAAAGGAAATGAGACTAGATGCAAGGAATCTACTGAGGGTAAGATTAGAGTAGATCAGGAAAGAAGTGTTAAGATCAAGAACTTGAGCAGCAATTATAGAAATTGAATGGAAGGAAGCTTGAGGAGGGGTGTTTTGTAGACATAAGCTTTGGGATTGGACACCCATTTAGATGAGTATAGTGGAGGATGATTCCAGGTCTCTCGGGTTAATTACTTTCAGTGTTGGGGGCATAATGGTATTGAGTGCAGGAGGGAAAGGGCCAAAGGGGGGGGGGGAATGAGCCTCTGTTGACACTATATTCATTGGGTTTAATTCTGGGGATGCTGAATCCAAAATGTCTAGGGTCCCTCGTGGACATGTGTCTGAGGATGAGCTTTGGGTTATCAAGTATTTATTCGTTTTGATAATACATGCAGAAGTGAATGGCATTGTGCATTGATTCTGGTTTTATAGCAAAAAGACTGAGGGTCCAGGGACAATTTTGGGGAGACTTAACTTTTCTTGGTAAGAGGTGGTTCAGCACTTTTCAACAAATGAGAAAACCCTGAGTTGTCCAATGGCATAGGAAGCAAACTAGGCTTGGTCTACAGAAGCTCAGTTTAGAAGAGAAGCTTCTGTGAGGCAGAAGCTCATAGGTGTGTCCTGCTTACTGTGTATTAATGTAACATCTTCACACAAGTCAAAGAAATAACCATCCCCAAACTCTATTAAAAATCTAGTCACTGGAGATATTGGCTTCCAGATTGGCAGCCACATGCTTATTATCCCCTGTACATGGCTCTGTGTACTGTTCTCTTCATATTCTCCCTATCTGTACAAGACAATGACACAGTTCTTTCCAATCCTTGTAGTAATATTCTACCTATTTTATGTAAACATATCCTCACCAACACTACCAATGCAATATTTTATGCATCCATCGTGTGTTTTCTAGTAATGAGGTGGGGCTTTTCTGAGTCACTGTGGAAGAGTGTAAATGCCATGTGTAGATATTGAAGTCCAAAGGATAGGGGCTCAAATCCCCACCTTTCAAATCATTAGTTTTTCCTTGAATCACAGCATTCTTTCTCATCTGTAAAATGTTGGTAATAATGCCTACCTGGCAGGGTTGTGTGAAATCATCCATGATAAGCACCACCACCACCAAATAAATTGGAGCATTTTATTATCTACCAAAACTTTTGCCTAGTGGCAGGCTCCAGGCTAGGGTAATGAGGAAGTATGTTTTTAGGACATGTAGAAGCTACTCAACACCTAAATCAGGTTGATGCCTTTGGGTCCATACTTCCAGACCACTCCATGGATTAAGTCAATTAATTACCTTGTATAAGAAGACACCTATCATCCTCTCGTGCCCAGCCTCAAACATTCTTTCAACATTATGGGAAGAAGTGTGGAGGGAGTCTTGGCAGATCCACCTCATATGGTTGCATATTTATTAGAACAGTGCTTAAAGGTTTTCGGGAAAAGGAGACTATCAAGAGAGAGAGACCCGAAGTTTGATATAGGTAATTTGATACTTCTTTAATTATAGGATTCTAGGAACATAGACAAAACAAAATGTTCTACTGATGGCATAGAAAGGTTTCTTATCATCATAATTCTTATCCCTTAGTTGCTGGGCATTTCTAGGGTTTGCTGAATTCACAGTAATATGTTGTTTCACAGCAACATATCATCTTACCATCTTGTCCTTTATTAATAAGATAGTGATAGTCTGGGAACCTGTCATTTATAGCATAGGAGAAGCCTCTCAAATTAAAACTCTCAAAGCCCACTGGTCTACATTGAGAAGAGATTTAAAACCCCCACAAAATATCCTCTTCCATGCCCTGATTTCGGAACCAATTGATAAATAAAATACAAGAAAAAAATCAGACGGAAGACGAGACTATAACCTCTACTATCAGAGAATTTAGTTTATAACTCTTGGCAAACGTGCCTCCTGATACTGAAACCCCAAATTACACAGACCAATCTACCTAGTCACTGGCAGTGCTGGGCCACCGCAGGGGTCTGCCCTCCCATGTAGCACTGATGGCATGGAGGTCCAGATGGTTGTGTGTCTCTCTAAGAGAAAGAGGTGAGGAAGGGGTGGGACAAGTTACATCCAGTTTCTACTTCCAATCTCTACAATAAGTGAGGGCGTGGAGAGGGGCCTCAAGTGTGTAGAAGGGAACAAACAGCAGGAGTGAAGTAGCCCCTACCTCCTCTCTTAACTTGCAACTTTGAAAACTACCTCTCTTCATTCACTTATTCAGCCTTCATATATGGAGCATTAGTCATGTGCCAGGGACTGTGTTAACTGCTTGTGATACAGAGATGATTAATTCCACGCTAAGGGAATTTGGGATTTGTTGAGAGAGACAGCTGGCAAATGGGTAGTTCACATGGCTAGCCCTGGGACCAAGGCCTGCGTGGCTGCTGTAAGGGGACTTGGGAGGGAGTTTGGTCCAGGTGCAGGGCCTCAGGTAAGGGTCTCTTTTGCAGGGGTGACTACTAAGCCATTTAGCAGGGGCAACATTCTGGTGTCTGAAGTCTGAGAGAGAAGGCAGAGCTTCTTCAGAAACCAGTTTGTGGACTGGGGGTCTGTCTAAAATTGCATTACCAGTGGAGACAAGTTGAGGGCAAAAATATAGCTTCATAAATTATGTGCTTTCCTAGAAATTAAAACTACAGGATGGTTGGATCCTGCTGATCTTTCTCGGTTTATTAGAGCTCGACTTTAGCAAGAAGAAACATCATGACAGGGTATTAAGTACAGATGTGCAACATCCCAACAGTAGGCCCGAAATTGATTTTCACATAAAAAGAGTTTAAAAATAAAAGTAGGAAGTCATGCCCAGGGTCTGTTACATTACCAGCTTTTCTGGGCCTTGACTCCCTTATCTGTTAATGGGAATAGCACTAACTGCTCTACCCACTCTCCCAGGCAGATTGTCAGGACGAAGCCGGGTGACAGATGTGCTGTGCTGTAGACACTTAAAAGTCCAAGGCGTCATTTTAATATCCTCTTATAATGAAATACAAATGGATGCCAGCCTAAAGCAGAGTGTGTATTTTTAAACTAATCAGTTGCCTCTGGCACCAGTACTCAACTTTGCAGCTGTGGCCAGAAAGACAGGAGTAAGGCAGATTTGGGGGGGGGGGGAATTACCTATGAAAAAAATGCATTTTAATGGGGGAAAAAATCCATACCAGTGTCTAAAAAAACAGAGGAGTAAGAGTAGAGATAACAGTTCTGCTCTCAATCAAGGAGCGCTTTTATGTTGTTGGTTTGTTTGTAGAAAGGTTGATATACTATGCCAGATCTCTTCAGGATCCAGTGACCAATACAAGGGATAACCTGTAAGAGCCATTCGCAACGGATGTGTTCTGTTTCCACTGATTAACTACCTGTGGGAGTTTAGATACCCAGTGAGAGAAGATCACTTCTTTCATTCATTCAATAAATAGTTATTGGCCAACTACCGTATGCCAAGCAGTGTTCTAGGTGCTAAGATTCAGCAGGAAGTGAAAGAGATAAAAATCCTTGATCTTATGAAGCTTTTATTTTAGAGAGGGAAGACTAGACAATAAACAAAATAGTAAGTATAATAGAGAGGACTGATGTAAGATGGTGGTGTGTAAGTCCCACACAGGGAAAGGAAGCAGAGGGTTAGGGAATAGTGGGGGTGCGATATAACTACCATTAGGGTGATCAGAAATTAGAACAAAGACCTGAGCAGAAGTTAGAGGGTGCTCCATGAGACTGTAGGGGGAAGAGCTTTCCAAGCAGAAGGAACAGCCAGTAGAGCCTGGCATGTTTGAGGAGGAGGCCAGAGGCCGGTATGGTGAGCAGAGCGTGAAAGAGGAGGCGAGGTCAGAGACGGAAAGCGGATGAGTGTGGGAGCTCAGAGGGCAGGTAATGTAGATTCTTATAGGCCATTGGAAGGACTTTGGCATTTGTTCTAAGTCAGATGGGGAGCAGAGCGGTGATACTACCTAGGTTTTACCAGAAACACTTTGAACGCTTTGT